GGCGCGGGGGCTGATCCAGCCCGGCTCCAAGGGGCGCGGAGCCAGGCCAGCAGGGAGGGAGCACGGCGCATCCGGGTGACTCCCTCCCTTCGGTGCCCGCTGGCGAGCGTGGGCCCAGCCCAGCCCAGCCGGCCGGGGGGCAGCGACAGGACCTGCCCGCACAAGCCGGCAGCGTGCAGGTGATCCCAAAGCCCCGGGTCCCAGCCCCTTGTCCGCTCGGTGCGCGCCAGGCCAGCTTGGCCGCTGGAGCAGGCAGGCCGGGGGCCAGGGCAGGGCTGCTCCGCGCCACCGCCCCGGCACCGGGTGCTCAGAAGTACGCAGAGCCCTCTTTCACCACGCAGTCATAGTCCTGGATCTGCGCCTTGAGGTGGGTGAGCTTCTTCTTCAGGTAGGCGCAGCGCTCCTGCTTCTCCAGGAAGGCAGGATCCTGCAGGGCCGGACGGGGCAGGACGCAGTGAGGCCTCGGGGAAGCTGGGATTCGGCTCGCCCCAGCCCCAGCCCCAGCCTGGGAGAGCTCAGCCCCATTTGGCCGGGGCTGGGCCCTAAACAGCTCATGCTCCCCGCAGAGCGGAGTGGGAGCATTGCTCCCGCACCCCTCCCCAAGCCCTGGGTGGGAAGCCAGGGCTGGTCACGCAAGGCTGCAAAGCAGAGGGGCTACAACCAGCCCCACTCCCAGAGGGGACCCTCCGAATGCAGAACAAGGCTCTCCTAGCTCAGGAGAGCATCCACACAAGGATTCCTTGAAGGAGAGCTCCTGGGTTGCTCAATCCAGATTCAATGTTGAGCGGAGAAGGGTCCCGAGACCCCGTGCAGCGTGCGCCTTCCCAGCTCAGCTCTCCCCCTTCCCGCCCCTTTGCTGGAGGTTGCAGCCAGGACTGGGGGGAACCCAGGCCCCTACTCACACTTCTCTTCTTCTTGTACTCCTTGCAGACATTGGAGACCCGGCTCTGCTCCTGCAAAGCACAAAGCAGCACGTGAGCAGGGGAGCAGTGCCCCACTGCCCAGCCACACGGAGCAGAGGGTCTGGGGCCTGGAGCCAGGAGGAACCTGCCTCCAGCTGCGACATCACAATGCAGGCAGGAAGGCTGCTCCGTTCCCTAGTAGCTGCCAGCTCGGATCTTGGATGCCAGAAAACTAAAGCACTTCCCGTTAGGCAGCAGCTGCTCTTGTGAAGGTAGCTAGCAGCCTTGGAGGGGTCAATACCACGGGGGTATTGAAGCAATGAAGGGAAGGGGTAAATTCTCCATAGATTTATCCCAAAAGTGCTGTCAGGGAACACACTGCACACCAAGTCCAGGTTAGTGGGCGCACACAGACACACGTGCATGAAAGCTGGAGTGCTGGAGCGCGCGCGCGCTCACGAGAGAGAGAGCTGGGAGTGCATTAGTGACACAAATCACCAGCCTGGCTTTGTCACCAGCCTCAAGTAGTTCCCGTTGCTCCCATGAGCCTGGGCTGCCTCCCTGAGCACATATCCAGCCTTCAGGGCCAATAATGACCGGGGGGGGGGGG